ATTTCTCTCTAGAATGATGTACAAATGAGCGTTCTTGCTCATTTTGCCTCCGAGAAATGAGCAAAAACGGGACGGAAAACATGAAATTTTGGCATTATCTTGAACCTAAGTGTTTGATATTCATATTTCGCTTTCTGGGTCAAAACTACTCGAATTTCCTCACTCATGTTGTTACGACTGAATCGACTTTTCAATTCTCTATCGAACGATGCCAAAACGAATTCTGTGGCTCGAATGGTTCTTGATACACTTCGAAAAAAGCAGCGTTATTTTCAAGTGGATTTTGCAACTCGAAAAAAAAACACAAACATCTAAAACTTCTTGAATTCAAGCATTTTTGGAGAAAACTGCAACATTTCCTTATCGATGGTTCACTTTCTAAAAAGGCCATTTAATTCTCTTTGGAATGATGTAAAAACGACCGTTCTTGCTCATTTTGCTTCCGAGAAACATGCAAAACGGGACGGAAATCATGAAATTTTGCAATAATCTTACGCCACCCTTGCACAAAACGACAATAATTTTTCTAATTTCATAGACAACAGAAGACTTTTTTTCTACATAACCCCCCCTTGAATTTTAAGCTGGATCCGCCCCTGGCCAACCTTCACGTTTAATGGCATTGACAACTGTTTGTTGGTATTCGTCAGTGTCAATTTAAGACACATTTGTCAAATTTGAAATCACTGACAGAAATCAGTTTTTTAACTAAAAGGAACGTTTTTGGAAAATTTTAGGTATCTATCGCTATTGCCCAATGGTGAACATGTAAGTTTTTGAAGCCCTGATATTCTCTATAAAGTCACAACTAGTAACCAGTCAGGCTATGAAAGGTGATTTTCCATTTTTTGTTACGCTACTTTAATCTGCGCGATTATTTCGAAAAACAAAAATTTTGGAAAATTGTCCCAGAAATGCGTTTGTAAGCACATCGGATACTTTCTGAAATTTTCCTTTTCCATTATCGGTATACACCGCAAAGCCTAAACTGCTTATAATTATGTGAAAAACCGATCCGTGGGAGATTGGCAGTGGTTGAATGGCACCGAGAGAGTTTCCTTGCATTGAAATAGCTGCAACCGCTCGTTTCCCTGTGAAATTGACGCAGAACAGCCGAAAAAATACAATCGCATCATTTTTGCACCATTCCAATTGGAAACCTCACCGATCTCCTCTCATGTGGGAACTGTAATCTGTGATGTGCAGTCACGAAAACTGTATTTAAACGAATCCATACCGACAATTTCGTAGGTTTCCGGAAGTCGGCGTCAAAAAAGCCCCGTTAGACGGGCACGGGAAATTGGTGTGGTTCAGTACAATTTTTCGACCTTAATGTGTCAAGTTGAGATGTGTTATTAAATGCGGTTGATTTTACGGTGCAAACACTGCAAGCGCGCAACAGGTTCACAACAGCGGCAAGGGGCTAAAATCTGCATTTGGACAAGTTATGCTGAACAATGACCGATATTTTGATGCATTTGCAGGATACGCATATGACCCAGACTGCATGTACATCAACGGAAGTGGGCGCGAATACTACGAATTCTACATCCAGCTGAACAGATGCGGAACTCTGGGCAAAAATACTCATAACGAGGATAATAGAAAATCGCCGACCGTAAGTCGTATTTCATCATTAATCGCCTAATGGCCGGATTAATAAATTTCCGGATACGCATTTGACACGAATCCGTAACGGCTTGACAGCTCCACCCATACCTGATGTGATAAACGTGCAAATTTCCAGAAAAACTTCATGTGGAATACGGTCACTGTACAGTACAATCCCCTGATCGAGGAAGAGTACGACGAACACTTCAAAGTCACTTGCGAGTACGGGTACGACTTCTGGAAGACGGTGACGTTTCCTTTTTTGGACGTTGAGTGAGTGTGATATTCCCAATCAGCCCCCCACCCTCTAGTGATTTACGCGATTTTTTCCAGTGTCGCCACCGGAAGTCCAGTGGTCTTTACGCTAACACCCCCCGAATGCTACATGGAAATCCGATATGGGTATGGAACGGCCGGAAATCGCGTCACCGGCCCTGTAAGGGTGGGGGACCCACTGACACTGATCATCTATATGCGCAGCAAGTACGGTAAGTGGCAAATTAATCCGATCATTTGCTATCAAATGCCTCATTCAATTCCATCGAAACTGATCGATAAACCGTTACCGGTCGACATATCAAAAATCTGCTCTCCTCGGGGCCGGCAAATGTCGACCGTAACTTTTTTTGCTATTTAATTTTGTTCCCATTTTCGACTTAATTTGTGTTTTTCACGCTAACTAAACGCGCTAAGTATATTTTCAGCTCAAAATCGTCGTTTTTGTTGGAATTTAGGAAGTTTTGGGCAAATTTATTTTTCAGCTGGTTTCTCTTCCGAAATTTAACTTGGTCGTACAAAGTTGGTCCAAAGAACACAAACGTGTTTTTCTCGCTAACTAAACGCGCTAAGCATCTTTTCAGCTCAAAATCCTCGTTTTTGTTGGAATTTAGGAAGTTTTGTGCAAATTTATTTTTCAGCTGGTTTCTCTTCGGAAATTTAACTTTGTCGTACAAAGTTGGTCTAAACAATACAAACGTGATTTTCTCGCTAACGAAACGCGCTAAGTATCTTTTCAGCTCCAAATCGTCTTTTTTGTTGGAATTTAGGAAGTTTTGGGCAAATTTATTTTTCAGCTGGTTTCTCTTCTGAAATTTAACTTTGTCGTACAAAGTTGGTCCAAAGAACACAATCGTGTTTTTCTCGTTAACTAAACGAGCCAAGTATCTTTTCAGCTCAAAATCGTCGGTTTTGTTGGAATTTAGGGAGTTTTGGGCAAATTTATTTTTCAGCTGGTTTCTCTTCGGAAATTTAACTTTGTCGTACAAAGTTGGTCTAAACAATACAAACGTGTTTTTCTCGCTAACTAAACGAGCTAAGTATCTTTTCAGCTCAAAATCGTCGTTTTTGTTGGAATTTAAGGAGTTTTGGGCAAATTTATTTTTCAGCTGGTTTCTCTTCGGAAATTTAACTTTGTCGTACAAAGTTGGTCTAAATATCACAAACGTGTCTTTCTCGCCAACTAAACGCGCTAAGTATCTTTTCAGCTCAAAATCGTCGTTTTTGTTGGAATTTAGGAAGTTTTGTGCAAATTTATTTTTCAACTGGTTTCTCTTCCAAAATTTAACTTTGTCCGTTTCGGACTTAATTTGAATATTTTTGATCCCAGATGGATTTGATATCGTGGTCAACGACTGTTACGCACACAACGGAGCCACCAAGAAAATCCAGCTGATCGACGAATTCGGGTAAGTACGACAACAGTGTAGCAAACGCAAAATAACGCATTTTTTTATGCAGATGTCCAGTGGACGACAAGTTGATTTCCAGATTCCGAGGCTCCTGGTCCGAGGCCGGCGTTTTCGAGACTCAAGTGTTCGCCTACATGAAAACGTTCCGCTTCACTGGATCGCCCGCTCTGTACATCGAATGTGACGTTCGCATGTGTCACGGCCGCTGCCCGGTAAGTCCCCCATTGTAACGGCTGTCTTTATTTCAACGACAACTCAAACCGTTCAGAGCCAGCCGTGTCATTGGCGGAACGTCAAGAATGTGCGCAAGCGGTCTATAGAGGGCGGCAACAGCACAGCCAATGCCTCCATCCCTCTATCCGAAAACGTCAACCTGTTTCAGTCACTGAGAGTGCTGCAGGAGGGGGAAACCGACCAGGAAGCAAATGTCACTTATACAGGTAAAAAAGAGGCGCTGTTATGTCACTCCGTCCCGACTCTATTTCCTCTATTCCAGACGCCCGGACAACCGACCCGAACAGCTTCTGTCTGAAAACGGGCTGGTTTGCGGCACTTCTTGCGTTGGCCTGCGGCACTCTTTGTCTGCTGGGGGGCGCTCTATTGGCCACATGCTCCAGAATGCGCAAGGGAGTCTCGGACAAAACTCTCAGCAACTCCCAGTTCAGCGGATACATGAATCATCGCGCTACCTTCAAGTGAACCCTGCCCAGAGTTGTTGGGGTGGTCAATAATCACGCTGCTTTTTAGCAGACTTAGATTAAGGTAGACAGTAGACTTACGTACATGGAGAATTCGCCCAGTTCAACGCGTCTTCTCCTGTATGTTTGCCGATACAATCTCCCATCGGGCGCATTGATATTTTCCTTAAGTACGCCTAATAGTGTATTTAGGGAAATATCCGAATCGAATGTAAATATAATATGTGGCTCATCATGTAGCAGATCTTCGTATACCTAAGAGTTTTAGTTACGGACCCGTGTAATGCTCGGTTATTTAATAAATATTCTCACCGATTTTTGACTGGCAAGCAGAGTCCTTTAACAATTAGTGGGCTTGGGTGAACAATCTTAGAAAATCGATAGCTGTTTTAGCGGTTTACTTAATCAATAATCTGGGGCTACAAACTTGTGATGTAAATGATCTAAGAGGAATTGTGCAAAACCTTATTGAATGCAGCATAGGAGCTCTCCAAGTCGAACAGCAGCTGCCTGACCTGCGACTCGGACAACTCGTCCGAGGCTTGCATTGCATTCAACGTGCTCAGCCACTCGTTTACCTTCTGTTTGCCCTCAAAGTCGCTGGGCAGGATACTCAGTCTGTTCATGGTATCTACCAGGTCGCGAATCTCTGGATGCAGGTCATCCATAGCTCTTATATCCAGCCGCAGCTTGTCCATGATGGTGATGAACAGGGACACAATGTCCGCAATGCACTTGCTCGTATTGCCCTTATCGTCCTTGATGGTGATCGGTCTATCCTCTTTGATGCGCTCCAGGGCTGCGGGACAGTCCAGCTGCAAAGTTCTGCAGCTTAAGCAAATGCTCAGCCAAGCCAGACGACTCTTACCCGGTACTTCTTGACGAAGGTATCAATGTTGGGAAACTCGTCGCCCTTCACCTGCCGGAATCCGGACTTGTATTGCACCAGCAGCTTACTGCAAGCCCCCGTGTACTCTTTGGGGGTGACGCAGTCCCGGATGTAGGCCTTCTCTAGCTGTTGCAGCGTGTTGATAAGTGCGTACAAATCAGCGAAACTGTCATACCTGGAGAAAGGAAAAGGGGGTTTTGGGATTTTTAACGGGGGGCCGTATACCCACTTTTCACGCTCCCTGGCGTTGTGGAACAGCTTGACTTCCTCATATAGTTCCGGGCGATTTTCTGCAGAAAGGAAAGCGGCATAAATATTGTCAACTTGGTGCCAATGTGCCCCATACCCTGATTTAAACTCATCGCTTCCTGGGAGGGGCTAAAAGCGGGATAAAAGCCTAATGTTTACCAAAATGACCCATTCACTGACACTGACTTTGTTTTATTTATTTTGATGATGAATACGAAAACATAACCAAAGCAGAGACAAGGTGAGGAAAATAAAGCGTGTACATAACCACACTAAACATTGCTTAAAACACACCAAAAACACTGAAATGGGCACAAAGTGGTTCACACTGCCCTGCGACAACCGCCTCATTCAACTATTGGGAACCTTAAATGGAGGACAAAGTTTCCGGTATGGTTTTCACGCCAGTTCGGGGATTTTGTGGCAATTTCGGCTTGTTTTGCAGGTGGAAGAGGGTCGACAGCTCAGAGGGCCAGCAGTGGTTGGGCGTGTTTGCAGCCAAGCTGTGGCTCTTGCAGCAGCAGAACGACTCTATCCTGTACAAGGTTTACGAGCCTCAAGTGCAGTCGGAGCAGGCCTACAATGCGCTGCTCAGAAACTATCTGCGCCTGGACGTGGATCTGGAAGAGCAATATGCCAAGTGGGGTGCACGCGACCCCCATTTTCAAGAGGCAGCCAAGCAATTCTACGGCATTCGAATCCTGCGGCAGGACGTGACTGAAAACCTGTTCTCCTTCATCTGTTCCCAAAACAACCACATTTCCAGGTAACCGACTTTTCAGTTTGGTTTAAGGTAGTACCGGTTTATTGCAGGATTAGCAGCTTGGTGGAGAAATTGGCCCAGTTCTACGGCGAGAAAATCTGTGAACTGGACGGCGCCACCTACTACAGTTTTCCACAGGCGGAAAAACTGGCCGCTGATGGGGTGGAAGCGAAGCTCAGAGCCAATGGTTTTGGATACAGAGCCAAATACATCAGCCACAGCGCCAAAGCGATTGCAGAACGGGGCAGCAAACAGTGGCTCGAACAACTGCAGGAACTAGACTATGCAGCCGCTAAGAAAAAGCTTGTGGGCCTTATGGGGATTGGGGCCAAGGTGGAGTGAACCGACTAGCCAGCTGTTGTTTCACCCTCACCGTTAATTCTAAACATTGCAGGTGGCCGACTGCATTTGCTTAATGTCTCTGGGACATTTGCAAGCCATTCCAGTGGACACGCACATTTACCAAATCGCTGCCCGCTTTTACATGCCAAAACTCGTGCAGCAGAAAACCGTCACTGAAAAAGTGTACAATGAAATAGGCGATCATTTCCGAGAGCTGTACGGGCCTTTAGCAGGATGGGCACACACGGTATGCTTCGATTGTTGCTCCCCAGATAAATACAAATAAGTTGTCTTGGGTTTTAGGTGCTGTTTTGCGCCGATTTGAAGCAGTTTCAGCAAGGTGCCAAAGAACCCAAAAGGAAAAAACGCAAGGCGAGCTAAGGAAGATTTATTTTTTTAAATAATAAATATCCGTCACTTTTTGAATGTCCTTATTTATATAATTTTTTAAATGTTATAGGCCTAATACAATCGTTGATGGGAACTGGCAACGTTAAATCAAGTCCTTTTAGTCTATCTAGGGATTAACCTCTTAAAAGTGGCCATAACCCCACTTTGTATCGTGTTTGTGTGGGCGAATCACTAGTTTTATATTCGAAACCGCCACTACTGATTGCTGGTAGTAAATCACGAGTATAACACAATTATAACTTTAATCTTGTTGAGGTGAAAGTGGCTATGCAGGAGCTGCAGTCTATATCTATGGCTGCAGATTCGTCAGACGAACAGGAAGTTTTATTGAACGAGGGCTGGGCCGATGCCATATCAAGAATATTACGGTCCAACAAGCCGAAGCGCAAAAAGGCTCTGGTACTGTCCAAAGCGAAGAAGCTGACCGACCCAGTGAAGCATGTCACTACTGAAGACTACGAGGTGGCCACTGCCGATGGCCGCATTATCAAGGAAAAAACGGTCACTAAAGAGCAGCCCGCTGAAAACGTGGCTCCAACGAGAAAAAGGGTATGTTAGATTTTCTGCAAGAGATTCCCGCCTACATAGTCCATGTGTTATAGAGAAGGGAGCTGCCCAACCCGAGAGTAAAGCCGGATATTCTGCAAAAGGACCGTGAGCGAACGCTGCAGAAAATTGCCACAAGGGGTGTAGTGCAACTATTCAACGTGGTTCGGTCACAGCAGAAGGACATCAGTAAGAAGCTGGAGGAGGCAGGACCTCTGGAGGTGCGCAAAGAGAAGGTGCTGAAAAACATTGATAGGAGGGCATTCCTTGACGTGCTCATGGGCGAAAAGTCGTCGGTTGTGGACACAGAGCGGCCCCCACCTGCACCAACGCAGAAGAACGAACCTTCCTGGAACGTTTTGCGGGATGATTTCCTCCTGAGTGCCAAAATCAAGGACTGGGACAAAAACCTCGATGTGGAAAGCGAGAACGAAGTTGAAGAGGAATATGAAATCGAATCCGATTAGTTTAGTCGTTAATAAATTTTATTAAAAATGTTTTCGCTTAATATTATCACAGTTACAAAAACTACGGCTTGGGCTGTTTACAAGTCTGTTTTGGGGCCCAGCGACAAAGGTATCGCCGCAAGCTCTGTCCTTAAGCAGAAGAACTCGGCGCACACACACATTATGGTGGCACAGGCCACGTTCAGCGCCCACCAAGAAAAGGTGGTTGGAAACTGCCCGTTGTAGAACCAGCATACGATTAGATGAACCAGGTGCCAAGTGCAGCTGAAGTCCATGCATTGTTTCGTCCGCTCCACGATAAACCAAAGCACGGCTGAGCTAAAACAATACTCAGGCTTAATTTCCGTGGCTTGCCATCCGCACTAACCCTTACCCAATCAGTGAATTGACCACGAAAGCTGAAATAACAATGAGTCCTCCCGCATCTCGGACTTGAATTTCCTGTAATCCCAGTCATCAGAGGCGCCCGACTACTTGAATACTCTAACAACTTACGTGGTACTCGAAAATGTGATCCAGAGTCCTGGTGTCCCCAACTAGGGCCCCAAAGAGCACCAACAGCAGACACAGTGACAGGTACAGCAAACACTGCACTGACACAATTTGGGCGATAATGAGCCACGGGTCCCACTGTGTGTACCGAAATGATCCGGTCAGCTTCTTCATGGCAAGCGGTTGAAGACAGGTAAATGGCTCATTATTTAGTTCAGCCCTAATTAAGTTTACAAATTTTACAACTGGCCTGACGTATACTTCATAACATAACCCTATTTGACGTGTCACGTGTCACCCGTAGATCAAGACTGAAGTTCAGCAAAAAATTATTATGTAGGAACTGTTTGTTTCTCAACAATATAGGGAGAAACGGACATACAAGAGGCAACTGCTTAATTTATAACAGACGCTTTTGGGTTTTATAAAAAAATGCTTTAATCTATTTATAAAATTTAAAGAAGAATGCGGTCATAACCGTTGCGTAAAACGTCAACATTGAAGATTGGATGTAAACAAAGCGACTTTGAGCCCCAAAGACGACGATGGATAAGGGCCCCGAGTTGGTGTCCGATGCGGAAAGAGACCTGGCCTTGAATGCCCTTAACGAGTTCAAAAAGTACCGCAACAGCCCCACGAGCGCGCCCCTTTTCTATTCGCTCGCACTTTCAGGCGGAATTTCAACGGTTGCCTGCAAACTATCGGCAGGCTGGAAAGCAGCCGCGCCAGAGACTTCAAAGTGCTGCACAACCGCGCGATTGTGGAATACTTTCGAAGCGATCTGAAGAAGACTGAGCACTTCAAACAGAACCTCAACAATCTATGTGCACAGGTATCATGCGCCCCATTCGGTGCTAAGCTCCCGCTTCTATGTCTGTGTTAGTTTAAAATCAAGGTGGACAAACTGGAGGAGATCGACTATTGCATCGCTCAGTTCAACCAGGCAGTAATCTTGTTTCATCAGAAGGAGTATACCGCAGCGCAAGCAATAATGGACCGGGTTTACAAGTTTATTGAACCGATGGGTGAGTGGGCTTGACCCTACAGGGCGCATTAATCAACTGATGAAAGTTTTCAGAGGAAAGCTTAGCCAAGCAGGTGAGTCTGTTGGCAATCGAGCTGCAGCTGGTGTTGAGGCGCCCGGATAAGGCCCTGACCCTCATCAGCTATCTGGAGAACAGTCTCATGTATGGGGGCAGCATCCCCTTGAAGGGCCTGGACAAGCTGGGCAGGGACAAAAAGGTTCGATGAGCAGATGTAGGATAAATTGGGGTTTACAGCCACTTTTCTAGTTGCCCTTGCCAGACCCCAAGCCCATCCCGGAGGAGTTTCAGCGCAAGCTGCTCCAGTACAAAGTGCGCTGTTACTTGCTGAACCACTCTGTATCGCTTGCCAGTAAGGAGCTCTCAGCAATGCTCAAAGACAAATCAGTGAGTTCCACACACATGCGAATGGCAGTGCTTTAGACGAATGTTTCAGAAAGTGGACTTAATGTTTCTGACCGCCAACCTGGAGTACATAAAAGGCAACCTGAAGGAGTCCCTAAAGGTGCTGTTGAGTATTCCAGAGGACGCGCTGATATACAAGTAAGCGAGATTCACTTCACTTTGCACAGCAGCAATTTTGTTGCTGTTGAGGTTTTATTGTGGGTTTGAACGTCCGTTTCGTTTAGTGAATACGGAGAATCATCCAAAGTGCTGCTGAACAACAACTTGGGAATCCTTCACCATGCGCTGGGCAAGCAGCACCTTGCAAGCCACTACTTCCAGACGGCTCTGAAAGAGGACATCAGCCTGTGGCAGGCTGTGAAGAAGCAGGACAGCAGTAAGAGCATTGGTTGCAGTAAGAGCGGCACAGGCCACAATGCGTCTGTTGCAGATGATCAGTACCTGTACATCCGAGGCGGCTGCAAACATCACGAAATCACCTATAATTTGGGCGTGGCGCTGCTGCATGCAGGTCGAGCGTCCGAGGCGTTTGACTGCTTGATTTTCGCAGTGCGACGGTACCATCGAAACGCCCGGCTCTGGCTGCGAGTGGCCGAATGCTGCATTGCTGTGCACAAGGGGGTGAGTAGAACTCAGAGCTGAAGCAATTTATCGAGCGAAAGCAACAGTCGGCGATTTGGCTTTCCAGAGCAACGAAGTGGACTTTGATGTACAGAAGAAGCAAAAGTCCTTAATCGAGGAAGTGGTGGGTTCAGGGACCAATCGCAAAGTGGTGCTGACCAGCAACTTGTCCACGGACAAGAAGTACAAGTGAGTACACGTTCGTTGGATGGACAGGGCATTTAATAGTAAGAACCGGTAGTTTTGAGAGTATCTCCTACGCGATTCCGGTGCCCACATTGGAATTCGCCACATTCTGCCTACGCAACGCCAAAGCGCTGTTGCCGGCCGATGCGGCAGAGGCGCCCCAAGAGCCCCTGTTCCTGGTGCCAGGCGTCACCCCACCAGCGCCCCCACCAAGCCCTACGCTCGCGCCTTCAAGCCCGTCCTGCACGCAGGAAATTCAGGTAGGCAGTGCCGCGTTGCATGGAAATTGGTCCGAAACGCTCGGTTTTAGGGACTGAAAAACGCAATATTGGCAGCCACTGCCTACGTGTGCTTGTGTCTGGGCGATTACGTCACTGCATTGGGCTTCGCCAAAGATCTGCTAGCGCAGGAGAGGATTTCCGGCGTTCACAAGTAAGTAATATCAGATTAGTTGAGAGATCGCCGATCCCGTGTTAAAAAAGTGTACCGGAATCTACCATTGCGCAACTGCGGCGGGCACCCCGAACTATGACTACGTTGAAGCAGCGTAGGAGAGGTAAATAGTGGGGATCGTGGGCGTCTTACATTGTCGTGCTTTGCATGAGTTTTCTGACGAGCGCAGTTCGGGCAAAATCGGAAGATTTCGCATATGTGGGTATCGTCACCTGAAACTTTTCTTATCGCTCAAATTGTGAATGTTGTGTCAAATAAGCACATTTATTCGCGGTAATTTATTCATCGTAACTATACAACTGTTAATAATAATGGACGAAAGAAAAAAAACTATTGGCTTGCTGATAACCTGCGAACAAATCCCATTTACATCCCAGAGTTCAAATAATTTTTTGATATTTTTCTCTTTTTTATAACATTTTGAACCAGTTATAGTTTTTGCGCAAAAAAGTGATTTCTGTTCTCTTGGCAACTGAAAATTTTTGACATTCATTAAGTTTTTCATTAACAAAACATTCGTCAGGGCCAAATTTTGTTAAAAACTCGCTTTTTCTTTTCCTAAGATTTTTTATGATTGCAATTTGGACGAACCCGCTTCCAAAACACGACCGGGCCACAAACTTTGACCATTTCGGTCAGTTAAAAAATATAAAACGCTTGACAGTTAATTTATTATAAAACACATTATCACTTACTACGACTGTTGCAGTTAATGTCTGAAATTGATAAATAGCAAGAAAACAGAAATCATTTTTTGGCGCAAAAACTATGAATGCTACAAGATTTTATAGAGCCCAAAAATGTTTCA